GAGATTAGTCCCACTCAGTACCCTGATTAACATTTTAGCTTGTCTCCTGGGTGGAGAGTGCAGTGAATGATTATACATTTTCCTGTTCAGAATGAGACAAAAAAGCAGAGCAGAAGTCAAATTCTTGGAAGGTCCAGATGTTCTGGACCAGCTAAGACTAGAGGCCTCCCTGAGACTATTGTTCTGAGATGCTTTAAAATCCTAGAAGCAAAGCTATCCCTCAAGGTCCCCTTATAGCAAACCCACAGATACGAGTGGGCTTCAAAAAGTTCATGGAAAAATTCCATTGTCTTTTCATTCTGTCTTTCCACAAACATTTTGAACATTACCCATGAGTATGGTGCTCCAGTAAGGAAACATCTCTATGAAACCAAAAGGTAAAAGTAAACATGAGAAGATGAGGGGCCAGGGAAACGAGAGCTCTGGGAATGGAACCTCTAAAACACATTCAAAGAGAAGGCTGCTGACACATTGTGAAAAATGGAAGTCATGTCACTGAAGAATTTGTGTAGAAACCATCAAATGGGAACCTAATTTTCTGTGTAAACTTTCACCGAGAACACAATATAAAAAGAGAGAGAGGGAAGGGAACAGCATGCAATATTAGGGAGAGATTGTTGTTGTTACGTGCTGAGGAGCAGCAGAGGAGCTTGAACTTCCAACCTTGTGATTTAAATGACCTTGAGTTCAGCACATTAACCCACAGTGCCACACCAGGACTCTGATAGAGATCTCTGAGATAAGTCTTATAAAAAGATAATAAAATAGGGCAAGAAGCGAGAGTGTATGTAGCAGGACCACTCTTTCAGCTAGAGGTGGGATAGGATGGGGGGAGGACTAGTTTGAAGAGGAGGTGGCATTTGAGCTAAAGGAAGGAAAGGAGGGGGACTATGGATACAGGGGACGGGGAGAGTGTTTTTCTAGAAAGTATACAGTATAGCAAGTGCAAAGGTCCTGGGGCAGGAATGTCTTTGTTGAGCATGAGTAGCTGGAACTGAGTCAGGGAGGAAGGAAATGAGAGGAGATGGGAGAAGGAGCATCTGACCCAGGGTACAAGATGATTCAATCTAGTCTCTTGCTGCTGCATCCTTGATACCTGGGCTAGAAGAATTGATGAAGGTAACAAATGTGTTTTAAAATTTGTTTCAGCAACGCTACACCAGGAGAATTTTATAGTATACAAATTGTGCCTCACAAATGGAGTCCTGGTGTGGCGCTGTGGGCGAATGCGTCAGACTGCAAAGTTGTTTGAACTGCAAGGTCGGTGGTTCAAGCTCACCAACTGCTCCTTGGAAACCCTACACAGTGTCACTATGGGTCGAAAATGACTCAATGGCACTTAACAACAAGAACAATACATGTAAAAGTTGGACAATGACTAAGGAAGACCTTTGAAGCATTGATGCATTTGAGTTATAATGTTGGAGGAGAATATTAAAAGTACCATGGACTTCCAGAAGAACAAACAAATCTGTGTTGGAAGAAGTGCAACCAGAATACTCCTTGGAAGCTCAGATGGCCAGACTTTGTCTATCATGGTGGTGGTGGTGGTGATGTACCGTGGAATCAGAACCTACTCATAGCGACCCTGTACAGGGTTTTCATGTCTGTAAATCTTTACGGGAGCAGAAAGCCTCATCTTTCTTCCGCAGAACAGCTGGTAGTTTCGAACTGCTGAATTTAAGGTTTACAGCCTGATTCGTAACCACTACGCTACCAGAGCTCTCATACTCTGGAGGGACCAGTCCCTGGAGAGGAACACCATGCTTGGTAAAGCGGAAGGTCAGGGAAAAAGAGGAAGATCTTCAACGAGACAGATTGGCACAGTGGCTGCAACAATTGTGAGGAAGGCGCAGAACTGAGTAGTGGTTTGTTCCGTTGTATCATGAGTTGAAACTGACTCGACAGCACCTAATAGTCACAAATTATGCCTCAGGTCTCTGTACTACTAATCTAAGGCTGGTGGTAGAGATCCGCTCAGCAGCTCCCTGACAGAAAGAAAGACCTCGCAATCTGCTTCTGGAAAGCTTAAGTCAAGAGACCTTTGCAACAGCTCTACTCTGTATAACACACAGGGGAGCCGTGAGGCAGAGATCATTTGATGGCAGCCTTTAAAAAAAAATTCTAGGATAAGCACTGGACTGCAAGGTTGGTTTGAACCTCAAGGTGGGTGATTCAAACCCACCAGCCACTTCTCAGCAATCCTATACAGGGTCAATAAGAGCCAGGTAGAAACTGACTCGATGGCACTTAACAAGAGCAACAATGTCCCAGGTAAAGTTGTGAAAGAGATGAGGACACTTCTGAGACCCCTGGAAATGTGAACACTGACTAGATATTTAAAGGTAGTAAGGAATGGTCGGAGTCCTAGTGTGGGCTGCTAACTACAAGATCAGTGGTTTGAACCCATCAATCGCTCCTTCAAAACCCTATACAGCATTACTATGAGTCAGAACCAACTTGACAGCTCTGAACAACAACATGTTTT